GTCTACAGGGTCGCTGTGAGTGAGAACCGACTTGATGGCACTGAACAACAGCCACATGGAGTCCTGGGGTGGTGCTGCAGGGTAATGCACTGGACCACAAGGGTGGTTTCAACCACAAGGAGAAAAATGAGACTTTCTGCTTCCAAGAAGATTTATAGCCCGGGAAATGCCATGAGTTGGAATCAACTCAATGGTACTTTATATATGTTTTATATATGAGGGGACTTCAAAAAGTTCGTGGAATAATGGATTTGAAAGATAGTGGAAATTTTCCATGAATATTTTGAAGCCTTCACATGTACAAACATACACACACATTTATCTTTCTTATATATTGTTGTTGTTGTTAAGTGCCATTGAGTCAGTTCTAACTCATAGCTAGCTTATATAGGTTTCTCAGGAGCGGCTGGTGAGTCCGAACCACCAACCTTGTGGTTCAAACCGATCCTGTAGTCCAGCGCATTAGCCTGTAATGCCATATCAGGACTCCTTTTATATAGTGTAATAAATACTATTTAATTATATATAGTAGCATGTGCTACTATATATTTTTATTATATGCTGTATGTGGATTCCTGGTGTGGTTCTGTAGGATCACCACTTGACTGTGAACCACAAGATCGGAAGGTGAAACCCACCAGTTGTTCCTTGGGAACCCTGTATAAGGTTGCTATGAATTGGAACCGACTTGATGGCACCAAAAAACAGTATGTGATATAATATATATATGTTTATTATATTTGTTGTTGTTAAGTGCTGTCGAGTCGACTCCGACCCATAGAGACCCTGTACAGGGTTTCCAAGGAGCAGCTGGTGAGCTTGAACCGCTTTTGGTTGCAGGTCAAATGACTTTGCGATCTGACACATTAATCCACAGCAGTGCAATACCAGGACTCCCATATACATACATACACACACACACATTAAAAACCACAAAATCAATTTATTAATGAACAGAAACATGAACTTACATATTCAGATTCAATATTCATGTTTTTATTCTCAGGCCAATTGTGGATAAATAACTTTTTTTGTATGCAAACAATTTGTTATTAAATACCAACCATTTTTCAGTTTTATATCTTCCATATTTGCAGTTGTAAATTTTTTTGATTCTTTTTTTAAAATTATTTTTCTTTAGGAAGCAAATTGAGGAAGAATAAATCACATCCCAAGGTGTTGTTGTTGTTATGTGCTGTGGAGTTGATTATGACCCATAGTGACCTTGCATAGGGTTTCCAAGCCTGTAAATTTTTTATGGGAGCAGAAAGCCTCATCTTTCTCCAACGGAACAACTAGTAGTTTTGAACTGCTGACCCGTGAGATTAGCAGCCCTATTTGTAACCATACGCTACCAGAGCATCTCAAATAGGAAACTCTATATGGGCCTCTGAAAGACTTGTGTTCCTGGTAAGGTGTGTGCCACAGTTGGACAGTTGAGCCTAGTATGGGAGGGGCTTTCGAAGGTGTGTAGCAGGATGGGAAGTTCCAGCAAGTTACCCATGACAACTGTATACATATGTCTGGTATTGGACCTGGAACTGAGCAGAGATGATGTGTACAGGAGCCACAGACTCAGGTACTCCAAATAATCCGATTTCATGTGTTTTAAACACAGCACATGTCAAATGAATCATACCCGAGGGTCTAGTTTGGGTGATGGCTTGTGGCCCTTTGAAGCTTTACTTTTATTTTTGGTTAAAGACATAAAAACTGAAAAGTATGATGATTTGCTCAAACTTCCCTGATAGTGGGGTCTTTGCTGACCTATACTCTGTGTCCTTTCAGCTATATCTAATTCTTACTTTCTTTCTAGTTTTCATGCTGCTACTCTCTGCTCTCTCCTATTCATAAGGTTTTCAGTGACTAAATATTCAGAAGTAGTTCTGAATATTTTTGCCCCTTCCAAAGAGAGGTGACCCAATGGAATGCAGAAATCATAGTGCCATCTCTTTGATATCCCATGCAAGCAAAGTTTTGCTAAAGGTAATACAGGAACGGCTACAATCATACACTGTCAGTGAACTTCCAGAGGTTCAAGCCGGATTCAGAAGAGGCCGTGGAATGAGGGATATCAT